TTTTTTTTTAAACTGAATATAAGCATTTTCCTTATGGCTTTATTTAACACAAACATATTCTTTCTAACATCATTACACATTGAGGCCCTTCTTTTAGGTAAAAGGATCTATCTTAAATTTTCTTTCTTGAGTTTGGGACTATGTGTTATAACTTAGAAGGCAAAGGAGAGCAAGCAGAAGCTTTAACATTAAACAATGCGCGCGAAGCGCGCGAAAAATTTTTGTTTTTTTAATTCTAATTTCGTCGGAATTGATCAAAATTGACCTAAAATGTGCAATTTTTTAGAGGAAATTGGCCTACCTCAACAAAATATGCGATTTAAAATTTGAGATTTTCTAGCACTTTCCCGGGTTCAAGGTTCAAGGTTTTCCCCTCTTGAAATAGGTCAGGTAAATTTTTCTCATTTTTTATTTTATGTGTGTATACATACATAAACAAATGAGTAGTTGCATGCGTATTCTTTTTTCCATGAATCGATAAATCCCAAAAGGGTGGTCCGGGGGTTCTCCCCTGGGAAAATTTTGATTCCTAGATGGCGGGAATTGAGCTTTCCCGACATTTGAAGCGTGTTTTTATGAATTTTATATTCTTCAAAATTTTCTAATAGCAAAAAAAAATAAAAAAATAAAAAAGAAAAGAAATCAGCTCACGGGTCATGAAAAGGTAGGTTTAGAATTGTTTTCTTTTTGCCCTTTTCTTGTTGCCCAAGGGAGGGGTAAGGACCAATGACCCCCCTCCCCCAGATCCGCCAATATGAATTGCAAGAAAATGTAACTCGGTCGGGTACTTCTTCCCTCCTTCTTTTTTTGCATTTCCGAACATACAAAAATCTCCAGACATTATATATTTTTCGCTTAAAAGTGGGGGGAGGCCCGGGCCCCCCGGCCCCGCCGGCCATGTTATATTCTTATTGTGTCACATTAGCAAAAAACTGTTCAGCCTTTATCATAACACTGTGGTCTGTGGTTCTGTTTTGTCACACATGTCATTAGAAGAGCTGTTGATGTGTCATGTTGGCTGTGGAAACTTTAGTTCTCAGTTGATTAAAACATTTGAGGCATGTTGTGGCGAAATGGTTAAGTTGTCGCACAGGCCAGTATTGAGTAAATGAGCTATAAAATATGGGAGCTCAAAAAATTGCCTAAAAATCCAAATTTGTTTTTCACTATAAATCAACAGTTTATTGTCTTATTAATCATGCACCAATGTATTAGTTCTGGAAGTGGTCAACAAATTGTTTATTTAATGTTATTTTGATAGTTCATTCTATTAAACAATGTATGCACAAATAACTTTCAAAGGCAATTACTCAAAATCATGTTTATCT